ATTTGATATAGGGGTTTAGGTATCTACAGCTTAAACTGCACGCGCTACATCGCTTGCGCGCGAGACACCCCTGAAGGTATACTGTAACCTTAACAAGGAAAGGCTAGAACAATGAGTTTCGTCATACTTTTTTGTGTTGTGGGATGTATGATACCAAACTTGGTAATTTCCACCAACCAGTCGGCGGTAAGTTTTGCCATCATAGTTTTAAGTAAGTGAAACAAATTCCGCAACAAACTTCATTTATTTTCATTAGCCTGGCAAAGCAAGTACATCAAGAAAACTCGCAATGCGTTAAATACAAAATAGCGGTGATAATATGATAACACTATGATATATAACAGTGTATGATAATGGCGTTGTTGCCTCGCTTCCCGTCACAAGGGATTTTCTTTCGGTTCCATAGTGTTGAAAATGGCTGCGGGATACTTGTTGTGGTCACAGAGACAGCCGGAATAGTTCAGTCTTTTCCGGATGCCTTGTGATTCTTCTGGGACTTGATGGCAGCGAAAATCTCTTCTAGTTTTGGTGGTCTGGTTTCAATGTTTAGGTCCTCTTCAGCTTCTAGTATCTCAGTCTCCTCTTCTGTTGGTCTGTTGAGGACTTCCTTGAAATGTTCAACCATCGTGCCTCCCGGTCGTTGTCGGAGGTAAGGAGGTGCTCCTGTTTGTCTCGTATGGGATATTCCTGCTACCACTGTATTTCCCACAGACCAGTTTAGTAACTTTGTAGACGTTCCTCAGCTCTCCCATTCACTCTACTTCCTCAGCTTGCTTTGTCAGCTCTCCATTATAAGCCATCTCGTCAGTTCGGATCTTTCTCTTGACGCGCCTGTCGACTTCAAGTACTCCACCCTTTACTTCTCTACAGTACAGGAATGATCATAATGTTTACTAGCTTCCACTCCACCAAGTACTTCTCCATTCCTTTCTTCAGAATAATCGCGACCCCGTCATGAAGTAAATCAGCTGTGTGGTGCTAGCTTATCTCGTCTGTAAGCTACCTCAATCGATTGTGCCCTAGGGTCCAGAGGGTATCTTCATTTTAACAGCGAAGCCGCGTTCATGGCGTTGCGGTTTCGTCGCTCCTCGCGAAAAAGAAAACGAAAACCTGTGGCACTTAGGGTAGTGGGATTGGGGTTCAAAAATTTTATTTGACAGGCCAGCTACAAGAAGGCGTGACAAAAAAGGTAAAGCAATGAAAAGGTAACAGAATGAATGTACATGAGAGAAAAATAGAATTTTCATTAATCCCTTTTTTATTTTAACTTCGAAGACCAAGTCGTGCTGTGCAGCCAACGGTGTACCAGGTGTCCCCGGAGTGCCCGGACTCAATGGAAGAGATGGGGCCAAGGGGGCCCGAGGACCTGTCGGAGCACCCGGCCCTAAGGGCCCTCCAGGGCCTAAAGGAAGTCAGGGAACAAAGGGCGAGCAGGCCCAGGCCCCTCCGAAAAACTGGAAACAATGTGCGTGGAATAATCTTAGTGATGGAAGAGACTATGGACTGATAAAGGTAAGAAGAATTAGACGTTCCAAGAGAGGTCTCTCGGACTTCTCATCGCAATATCAAATCGTACACTACAAGCATTGCATCAGGATATTTATCACAAGGGATAAGCTTACATATACATATATTTATTGAGTATCCTCTTCCTCTTCATGCAATTGCACCCCGCCCGGGATATCTAACAACTTATAATCTATTAAACTTGGCTCTGCGATGATATACAAACAACTGTTGAAATCCGCGCCTGTTACTTCATTGCTTGTTTTCCTTTTAGGACTGCATTTTTATCAAGAAAGCCGATGATACAGCCTTGAAAGTGGAGTACAACGGTGACCTCAGGTTAGGTTTCTGTCTGGATTGCTGTAAGCGCTGGTATTTCACCTTTGACGGTGTGGAATGTAACGGTCCGCTCGCCATTGATGGTCTTATTCACATCCACGTAAACCACGGCAAAACAGACAGCAACATGCACAGAGTGCATTACATTGGAGGTTATTGCCAGGGAATTTCCGCAGGAGCCGTCCGAGTGGGAATCAATGTGGGGGACTGTGTGGGGAAGAAATCTGGGTCTGATGCCTATACTGGGTGGAACTCCGTGATGCGGATCATGATCGAGGAGGTGCCTCCACCACAGAAATAGCTTCAAAGAAACGCAGGAAGAAAGAAGACTTAACTGACTTTTTAACTCTCGCTGCTATCACGTTATGAAAGTGAATAGGCTTGCTTACAGCTCGATGTAAAGTAGAGACAGGTTATTAGTGTAATAAACCTGGGTATTTATGCTTCAGCTAATAAAAGCTTTTGATTTCTGGCATTTTGTATTCTTGGGTGATTTAGCACATCAGAGCACAACTTTAACTCCCAGGACCATCCCCATTACACCAATGCGGGTAAATTAAAAACTGTCCTTTTCAACAAAATCAAACCTTAACGTTTGTTGCATCGTTAAAGAGTTTAATGATAAGCCGAATCTGGAATAGCAGCTAAATTTCATTTTCAGATCGAATACGATAGTTCTAGAATACCTTAACGTTCTATTGTAGTACATATGGATTTAGTTAATATGGGAAAGAACCAGCAGGGCACGGCCTTGATCAACACTACAAAAAACTGAACATGACACACACAGATTTGTCATTCTCTGTAGACGTGCTCTTGTGTGATGCTGTAGCCTCGAATGAAGACGTCCTCATCGCTTGTCACGCACTCCTCCCCGTAGAAGAGGAAAGACTGTGTGACAAGCACAAAGTGCGCCTGGGTAGGAGCCCCATCAATCTGCACCCGGGACGGGGTGGGGGTGTACTTCCGTAAATTTCGGATAGGTGTATAATTTTCGGAAATTGATACGCTATTTAAAGCCCACACCCGAAAACTGAGACCCTATTGTTGGTTTTCACATGACGTCACTAAAATTCGAACTACAAAACTATTGATCTTCCTGGATTTAACTTAAATGATGTATAAGAGTAGCTGAAAACTAATATTCATACAAATTTTCGCTCCGAATGGGTTCTTGGTTTTGTG